TGTTTTAAGATGCTCAGATTTCATCCCCACTTTAGTGTGAGAGCAGAGTAAAATTGTTGTTGTTTTTGTTTTGTTTTTTTTAAAGACAAAAAGTAAAACAGACCCCATGAGGGATTCACAGCGTGAACAGTGCTAAGAGCTGTGCTACACAGGTGAGAAAGGAAAATATAATCATCCATTTGTGTAAATGGCTGAGGGAAAGATTGTTTGGTCAATCACAAAAATACACAGAAATACAATCAATACAATCTCATAAACTCATAACAGGACTTCTTGAAGACATCTTTAGTCACAAATTGAAAACAGGACTTCGTGCACCTACAGCAGTGTGTTTTGGTAGGAGAAATTAAGCAAAGCTTAATTTGGCATTAAATCCCATGTGAATATTTTTACACAAGTATTCAGGGAAGGCCAATCATGCTTCTTAGCTCACACACACTGCAGTAAGTGCTTGTTTCAGAGAAACAAAATCAAATTAAATACCAATAAAAATAAACAAGTCACAAAATAAAACAAGTAAATACACTCTACCGTGTGCAGGCCCATGCTCAAAGACACAGGCGAATGGACCCTCATGCCTGAACCATAGTCCTTGATGGACCGAGGATCTGGCTCCGCTCACAGTCTTAATGTCATTTCTAGTGGCTCTTCCCCCAAAGTCTTACTTTTAAATCCTAGAAACTTTCCTCATATTACTGGAATGTATCTAGACTGTCCAAACAGTCTCTGCATTTCTCAGCAGGTCTTTGTGTGGTCTATTCCACTGTTAATGTCTTTTTAACCCAAGTATGGGAATCGTCTTTAAAATGTTCAATTGCCGTTTTAGGCTAGGGATCCTCCCTGCCTGACTCAACCTCCATATTACCTCCACCATAACCCCCCTATTTAATAAGCGAACTGTCTGGTTTGAGCGGCGGGGGCAGGGAGGCCATATCCACGTCGGGAAGCGAGTGACCACCTCTTCAGGAACAGTCCGGACTCCTTCAGGCCCTTGGACGGTGAGGGGAACTCGAGGGGAGAGAGCTGAAACACAAGTGTCACCTGACCATACTGTCTTTTCTCTTTAGGTTATGTGATATGTAGCTGGCACAGTGCAAGAGTACAAAAACAGTTTGGGGTTTGTTTGGTTTTTTTGGGAGTGACTGGCTTTCTGTAAAGTCTGAATCTCGTGGTGAGTACAGCACTTTGTCAGCCTTCCCCCCCACCATTGTTCCTGCATGTCTGCAGTGAGAGTGAGGGTGGGGGGCGTGAGGAAGTCTTGACTTTTCTGTTTTGTTTTGTTTTTTTGAGGGGGATTATTTTGATTGTCTTTACCTATCAGGTGTAAATTTCCAGGCACTCAGTTCATTTTGGGCCTGCTCCAGTTTGTCTTTAGTCTGTTCCAGTTCAGCCTTCATTTTGAGGAAAAACAAGTTGATGGACGGGTCCACCATGGACGACCGCAGTTGGGCCACGCTCGGCTGCTGGACTTGCTTGAGGTACTGGATCTGCGTCTGCAGGATACAACAAACACATGTCAGTGGCAGGAACAGATAAACAAGTGTTTTATCATGGTTCAAGAGAACATTCTTGAGTTTGGCTCCGATCTCCAGTAGCCGTGTTTTTCCCTCTTAAAAAATAAACAAAATGTATAAAATTGGAAATCGCAATTTTCTGATGGCAACTTTTGATGTGGACTCAAACAATTTAAGCATGTTGCCTTCCATCTAAAGTTTTCAAGACAAAATCTCTAAGTGAACAATTACTTCCAATTATTTGACAGCTGCCTTTCCAGGCCCGGGGAGATCAGACTGGTCCAAAACAACAACAACAAAAAAACTCACCTGCCAAAGTTATGAAGACATCAACCATTCTTTGTTGGGGTTTTTTTTTGTGTGTGTGTCTCAAACACATTTAGCTTAAAATTCTGGCATTTCTGTTCAAAACTGTGTCCCCATGCTTTCCATTTCAATGTGACTGCAGGGTTTCCAAGTTTAAAGCCTGTGCGTTGAGCTCACCTCAGCTGCACTTTAAGAATGGCATGTGCTACCATAAAGCAGCTGTTTGATCCACTGAGCTGTCAATCTGGCAAGAGCAAAGGATGCCTTGTCTTGAAATAATTTACTTTTAGCCTCTTTTCCATGATCATGACAGTTTACTAAGGAACGCTCTCTGCTGGAGTGTTGCAAATTATTCAATTCATTGAAATTTAGTAAAAAAGTTAAATTATTTTGCACTTTGAAAACTTGTATTATCAAATTTAGAATATAGGATAATAATTACTCAGTTTTGACTTGTTTAATAGCAAACTGTAACATCATTACTTATTCACAAGGTTACCCATGTTCTTATCCGTGAAATCTTAATGAAAAAAAGATCACTTAAACGTTATGTTAGAAGGGCTCAATATTCCTATAAGAACTCAAACTGTGGGACAAATAGAAACTGAATTCTATTCAGTCATGTCAAGCGTAATCAAAATGAGAGGAATAAATACATACTGTGCACTCTTGCATTTCCTGCTCCTTGGTGGCAAGTCGCATGACCAAGATGTTTTCCCTCCGCGCGGACTCCTGCTGCTGCTGCTTGAGCTTTTCCTCCGACTCCTTCAGCCCTGGAACGTCATTGGCTGAGGCGATAAAAGCGGTGCAGAAATGCAAAACATATCAGATTAATTCCTTTCAGTGACTGCCACAGACAGCAGCACCAGGCAAAAACATGGTGATTGTTGAGATGCTGACAAGGTTAAATCATAACCATGTCTTATAGCAGGTGTACTTACAACATAGCTCCGCATATTTTGCCTCCAAGACCTGGACATAGGCTTCATGCTGTTTCCACCTGTGATGGGCAGAGCATGTTTTAGCTGCTCATCCAAAACAAAAACACCAAATTCCCCCTACCACATTATTAATCACCAATAGCAGAGCTGTTACCTACCTTGCACACAACTCTTCTCTGGTCAGAGTCTTCATGTCCGATTCACTAAGGCGAACCTGTGTGAACGAAAACCCAAGCATTGGTTACATAAAGAAACCCATTAGAATATTTGGAGGGTGGTGGGCAGGGTCGTGACACATAACAAATTACAAGGAGTACATTAGAATAAGAAAAGAAACTCACTTTCTTGGGTAGAGGCTCCTCGTTGGTCATTGTGAACGCTGTAAGTAAAAAGGCGACAGGAGATCAGCAGTAATTACAGCTTGGGCTCGTGTGCTTGAAGGACTGCATCATGTTTTTTAACGCGATGGCTATCAACACGCAGTACAATGTACAGCAACTCTGCTAACTCGGTACAAAAGCGGTGCCTTTCAGCTAATAGATGACCCTGATGGCGTGTGAGGAACACATTAACTATCCCGCAAAACTAAATCAAAGTTAATATAATAGCAGTTTATAAGCGCAGCCGAGCCTTGTGTTAGCTCGTGTGACAAGCAGCAGCAGCAACGGACCGCGAGAAATGGAAAATATGCTAACCAAGGTTAACACCAGGCTGCTAATAAGGTTTAGCTGTTTCCGTTAGCAAACTAACTACACGTAACGAAACAGCAGTACCGAGCTTCACTATTTCCCTATGTCCAGCCTGGCAGCATACAAGTCTTGGCTCTGTTTTCCGCTCCTTGTTATCACAAAATGGCGGTGAAGGAAATGACTCCCTCCCTAGCACTCCTTTTCCTGAAACTAGCGGGTTCTGGGTTGCAGATATCGGGCCTTCAGCCATCAAAAAAAAAGCACTTACCAGATCAGTTTCTTTCGATATTTCTCGGTCCTCTTGGCGTCAGGGGTTCTTTATGAAACGAGAACCTGCGACTTGGTTAAAATTTATGGGGAAGTTATTTGTAGTCGTCTCGCTTCGGCGTGGTCAACAGCATCTTCCTCGCGGTCGACTAAACAGAATGGCTGTAGCTGGGCGCTGCGCCGCACTTGCCTTACTGCAGAGTTCTAGCACAGATGGAGGGAAAGAGCGAGACCTCTCACTCCGCAGCGATTTTAAGATCATAAAATGTACCCCTCAAATAACAGTAAACAGTAGATATTTTTTTATATGATTTTGATGAATTCATGCCCGCATTACTATTTTTATTGTAGTATTTTTAGCCTTAGTTTGTATGAATGCATGTTTTTAAGTCATTAACTAATGTATTTATGTTAACAAATGTATTTAAATATATACACAGCACAAAGCTCTCCCTTTTGTACTATTGGTAGGAGTAGTTTGAAGAAATATTTTTAATTATTATGAGTCTTCATAAACCTAATTATTTGAATTAATTCATTAAATAAATCTAGAGTAGAGAAAGCCTTAGTGTACCTTGACATTAGTCTTTGGTGCATCATCGACTGTGAGTTGTACCGAAACTTGTTTAGGCTACTGAAGAAAGAAGTGGTTCTTTTTAGGATCTTGAAATGTAGACTTAATCAAAAATAACTCGAAATTGTGAGATAATAAGCCATATTTTCTTTTTTATTTCAGTTGCAGAAATAACTTCCTGTTGTTCCATGAAGTTGACACTTCTGGTGGATGCTAGAATTGTTCTCAGTTTAGTGTCCACCACAAGTGATTACGTGTTCCGAATTCAAACCTGAGGGTTTTCCCTTTTAAGCAAGCGTTGTTTGCTTCTTAGTGCGCCATCTGTCTTAATATAGACGATCTCCGCCATTGCCTCCACTGTTGCGGGGGAACGTTCACGTGACTCTCTGCTGTTAGTTTTTTTCTTTTTTTAACTATGCTTGTAGACAGTAATAAGAACTACTCCTTTGAAATGTATGCTTTGTTTTGCAATAAATAAACAGAGTGAACAGATTTACAATAAATTAAACGGATTAGAATAAAAAATATCTAAAGGGAGGAGATGCAAAATAATACAGAAGGTAAGGAGCTTTTTTATTATTATTATTCCAGAGTATCGGGATGCGTTTTTAATACAGTCTCTCTCATCTGCCAAGTGTCTCTAATAATGTGTATCGTTGTCACATGTAGCCGTTGACTCTGTGTTTATCTAATTCCCGGACACCCCCACAGCATAGATGTAATGGTACGGTCGCCTCCTCTGTCAACTTGAAATTGCACATTTCAAGGGCAGTTGTAATCAGCGTGTGTATTCCTTCATTCTGTCTATTGAACAGCATTAGGAACATGCTTTGCAGAGCTGGACAAATACGTAGGTAAGATTGTTGTCATATTGTTGAGCATTTGGTACGTGTACTGCGCTCAAAGTGCATACGGAATGGGGGCTCTTGACTTCTGCTAGCAGCAGTTGTTCTTGAACGTGACAGTTGCTTATTGAGAGCTAGCACTTAGCTAACCGAAATGCTAACTGGCAGCTCAGCTAGGTTAGCTTATGGCGCACTAAATACAGGTTTTTGTTTATTAAACGCGTAATCATGCTGTTATGAACTCGTGCATGAAGTTATGAACCGAATGTCTTAATATTGAGCCAGTATCATATGTTCAATGAACTAATATGTAGATGGCTGTGCTTCAAGAGCTGCATAAATCTAGTATCAACAACAGTCATTTAGGTCAGTTGCTTAAGTAAGCTAAAACTAACTGAAAATCCTACCTCTGATACCCTGCAGGGAAGTAATTTGGTACGGCTTAGTTGCACAGCCTTGTCAATTGCTCCTTAGCAAATTACTCGTTGATTAGGAAACTAAAGTTTAAAAGTAGTTCTGTTTGGTATATCTCAATTTCTGTTGGAATGTATCCCTAAATAACTGAATAAGTTTTCTTGCTGATGTCATGACATTTTCATGATGTCATGCCTTATTTCATGCTGTATTGATTCATTATTTGTTTTCAGGTGTGCAGCCAGCCTCAGCCACACTATTAGCAAGGTAGCTGCATCGAGGCAGAAGCATACTCTCCCTGACCTGACATACGACTATGGTGCCCTGGAGCCCTACGTCAGTGCAGAGATCATGCAGCTGCACCACAGCAAGCACCATGCTACATATGTCAACAACCTAAATGTTACAGAAGAGAAGTATCAGGAGGCACTTGCAAAGGGTATGGGCAGAGTCGCATGATATTTCACTTCGCTTGAACTCGAATTGAAAATGAAGACTTTAAAAGTAGTTGTCTATATGAAGTTGTAATTAAGATTCTGATACATACATTAGTTTTTTTTCCTTAAAGATTTCCCCAAAACATAAATGTGTAAGAGTTTGACAGAAGCTGTATGTTGTGTATATTTGACTTACATTTTTAGGAGACGTGACAACACAGGTTGCTCTTCAGCCTGCTCTCAAGTTTAATGGAGGCGGCCACATTAACCACACCATCTTCTGGACAAATCTCTCTCCAAATGGTGGAGGCGAACCACAAGGTAAGACAGAGAAATTTACAAAAATTGAAACAGGGTTTTGTACTTTGTTTGTTTTTCTACTCGGGAGTGGATATTGAACTTAAAACCAACAGGAGACCACAAAATGTCTCTGTTAGATACATGAGTATTTATGTAACTGTTAACTAGCAGAGTTGCCTGAGCAACTTGGTAACTTGCTTGTCTGTCAAGGATTATAGTTTCCTTCCCCCTAGTGGTATGAAACTGTATATGACCAGACTAAAACTATTCATAGCCAGTTAACATATCATCTTGTCTGTCTTTAATCAGATCACTTCTCTGAGACATGACTCTTATTGAATGTGCAACTTCATTTTATGACGTGTTAAAAAGTTGATTAATATGGTTGCAGAGTTTGTTTGTTTTTTATTGTTGCATAATGACTGAAAATTGCACCATTTCCTAATTGGCTTAAAGCTCAGTTTTGTTAATATGGAAATTGAATAGTACTCATGGCCACTGGTCAAATTTCATGACAGAGTTGGGGGAATGGTTGCATCATCACTTGGATGATGCAACGTTTCTTTCACTGAAAACACTCCAGCCAAGACATTTGTGTTGTGCCATTTCACTGAAGCATACACATCTGTTTGACAACTTTGTAGGAGAGCTAATGGAGGCAATCAAACGGGACTTTGGCTCCTTTCAGAAGATGAAAGAGAAGATGTCTGCTGTTACGGTGGCTGTGCAGGGCTCAGGCTGGGGGTGGCTTGGCTTTGACAAGGACAGTGGAAGACTTCGCATTGCTGCTTGTGCTAACCAGGATCCTTTGCAGGGGACAACAGGTCAGTTGGACTTTCTGTGATTTGGTGCTATATAAATAAAACTAAATTGAATGAATGCGACTTGACCTTCTAACTGCAACATGGCCTGTTCATATTAATTTTTTTCCTTTTTTTTTTTTTGTTTTGTTTTTTTGGCGCTTAGGTCTCATTCCCCTGCTTGGTATTGATGTATGGGAGCATGCTTACTACCTTCAATACAAGAATGTGCGACCTGACTATGTGAAAGCTATCTGGAGTGTAGTCAACTGGGAGAACGTGAGTGAGCGTCTTCAGATGGCCAGAAAGTAGAAGCTGATGCACAGCAACCACTAAGACTTGGATCAAAGGGTAGTTGCCTGCATTAAATCAGACTTATGACAGTTCAAATCTTCAGAAGGTAACTGGCATTTAAACTGTCTTTAAAAATTTTTTTTTTTTTGGTACATATGTTGTACGTGGAAAAGCTGAAGCTAGCGGGCAAGTACTGTTTATCTCTGGTCTGTTCTCAACTGCCAGTAATTTTGAAAGCGCACAATAATGGACAACTTTAACATCAAAGCTGGCTTTTGCCATTCTCACATCTTATGAGTGGCATACTAGGTGTAAGATAACATGAGTGCATATTCTTATAGCTGTCTCAGTCAAGTTAAGCCACACTAAAATCGGACAATGTTATTGCAGTCCTTGTATTTGCTGTATGATAATAAAAAGCAGAAATTGTAATAAAACGGTTGTAAAAGCTTGATTCTTCTTTCTTTCCTTTTTTCATTACTTGTAAGAGTCTAAAATTTCACTTTCCTCCTCTAAGCTATAAGAGAAGCTGGAGTTAAAAATGCAGTTTTAAACTTTATTTAGTTTAAATCCTCATGGCCCCATTATAGGGCAGTGTTGAATACTGGTCACTGAAGCTCATGTTTTCAAATGCATTTTAGCTCAATTGGTGTTAAAAGATGGATGTCAACATTGGGTGGTTGTGGTTGTTGTTGTTGTTGTTGTTGTTGTTGTTGTCGTCGTCTAGCACTTTAGAGTTTCACCCAAGATGAGTTCAGTCCAATCAAGATTTAAATCCAGGCAGGAAATGTATAATAAGCACATGAATGGGGAGGCATTAAGTACCTTAATTTCTTAACAAAGGTCATATAAACCTCACGATTCTGTCAAGCTGAAAAACTTTAGGTTTTATGCCTACATCTGGTCATAGTGCTACTATTTACAATGTTGCCAGAAGAGGGCAGTGTTCCCTTAACATTTGTGCTTAGGCTCCTGCTGTGTATACAGGACTGTGCAAACTAATTTACAAAGAGCCAAATCTTTGTGTGTTTTGGTTCAATGAAACTGGACAAGATGACGACGACGACGACTACCTGAAATTCATGTGAGTAGGGGCAAACAAAAACAAAGCCACTTGCTGTTGATGGAAATTTCATCAGAAATGATCTCAGTGGAAGGGTGGCTTTTCATGGGGAGAAAAGACTGAGGTAATCCAAATTACACAAGAATCAAGACCTGTACAACAGTAAGTGTCTACAGCCATCTGTAAAACACAGTGGAGACTCTATCATGGTTGGTGCTTCAATTCAGCCACTGATGTTGGAGATCTTATCAAGACTCACAGAATTATAAATGCAGAAAAGTGCCAACAGATTTTGATCCACCATACACTACTACCTGGAAGGCATCTGATTGGCAATGGCTTCATTGTTCAGGATGACAATGATCCCAAACGCGCTACCAATAAAGTAAAAGCATGGCTGGATAGGAAAACACACAATGAATCACTATCAGTCATGCATTGGCCTCCCCAGAGCACAGACCTCAACATTATTGACACTAACAGAACAAAAGGCAGCCAGCATCCAAAGAAGAGCTTTCCCTTCAAAAGTCTGGAGAAGAAAAAAGAAATGACAAGAAAACATGGTGAAGGGAGTTCAGACCACTTTAAAGACTAAAGGTGAACACACCAAATATGAACTTTTAATAGAATTGAAACTCTGTTCTTGCTTTATATACAATGAAATCGCACTCATTTCCTATTTCACAAACAAAATGTAAAGAAAAATACTGTTATTATTATTACCCACTGGTGTAGCATGAGTTTAACGTACCGTTGCATGGACTATAACTTCAATAGCAGACTTACAGGGTTTTGTAACAGATTATGTACTAAAGCAAGGAGGATTTGGATTCGTCAGAGCGAAAAGCATAAGCACACAAACAGGATTGGTCTCATTTGTGACGTTGACATTGCCAGCCTTTAAAAACAGAAGTCTCCAAATTTATGAGAGGATGACTCTAAATGTGGCCTACTTTTGCTCTGTAAAAGTTTGAGTATGCCAAAAAGTATTTCCCTCATCTACGAGTTGTAAAAAAAAGATGGAACTCACACAGGATAGTTTCTTTAGCTTCTGGAAGGGAAGAGAGGAAAATCTTGAGCAAACGTCTCAGTCGCTGAGTTTAACTCCTTTTTCAAAAACCACCTTTGTTCCTTACCCCTCTACCCTCTTCTTTGTACTGCTTTTTCCTAAAAAAGTGCATCCAAGACTCAAGTAATACGTAGGCAAACATGCATATATATTTAGCTTTGTTGCCTATCCCCTTTTCTTCAGAAACGACATGAACTTTCACATTTTTATACACACGTTTCATAGGAAACACAAGTTCTGCTGTCGTTGTGGTTTCTCGCACACAGGCATGCAGCGAGACTCGCATGCGGCTGAGTCTCGCATCCTGATTTTTATTGTCAGGGCCTTTGGGGTGGAAATGCGTGCCCAACAAATACTTTGGTCTTTACTGATTAAAACTGTGGCCTCTACTTCCACACTCGCAGACTTTACATTTTCTTCCACAGTGCTGTTTAAGGTTGTCACAAATTTGAACCACAAATGTTGGGTGGGCAAGAAAGAAGAAAAACAAAGAAGCCTTCAAAAATAAGAACATAATATTCAGTCAGACTTTGCTCCTTTCTTCCCTTTTCAAGCCTTTTATTGTGTTTTCAAACACAAAGTGCTGACAGATGCATGCAAGGGAACGTCCAGAGTTCTTAAAGTGGGTCGTTTTTGTTCGCTGAGCTCTCTCAGTTTTTGCTCAGATCTTTAAAGGTCAGGGAAGGTGGAGTTGGAGCTAGATGACCTGACCTTGTGTCTTCTGTTTTGCTTCTCTGAAGGCCTCAGGGACTGTCTGCTTTCAGGGAAGAGTAGATAAAGACTAAACTTCTGTACTCTTGTAGCACATGTGCTCATTTCTTAGCTCTTTTATTTTCATAACAAATGTTTATTTTGTACTTTAACTGAAAAATGATCTGTGTGCTTCTAAAACCTGACCTGCTCTTCATATGACGTCTTCCTGAATAAACTTCAGCATCTTCAATCTCTTGTCTGCCTCCTAAATCATTTTTCAGCTTTGTCATCACATTTCTATGATCCGCCATCCTGTCCTCCGACCAGCAAAGCTGACCCGTGGTGTTTCTCTGTGTGAACTGCCCTACACAAGCTGTCATTGTCCCATTTGGACTGGAAAAGCGAGGTGTCAACACTAAGGAGGTAAAACTTTCCAGGATTCGTCGTCCGTTGTTCCTGGCAGAGAGGGCGACGGAGCTAAAATTCAGGGCACCCGTTTGGATCTGAGCCTGAAACTGAGTGCTTTAGAGAGGGAGCTCTTCAGCAGGCACCGCGAGCCAGGAACCAGGCAGCAGGGTTTTGTGGGAAACTTTGTCCATCTCATTTTTGTTAAAAAAAAAAGAAGAAGACCAGACACACAAACAGAACTTGAACATAGTAGAAAGGCACGCAATGTGCTTCTTCCTCTGGTAGTGCTTCGTGTGATCGTTGACATTTCTACAAGTGAAACACTGTGAAAAGTCTGTGCTGCAAAGAAAAGAAAGGAAAAGACTGTTTTAGCGAGAGGGTGTGACGGTGTCTGGTTAATTCTTTGCAGTTATGTAATAGTCACTTGCACCAGTGAGTCCAAAGGCTTGTGGACATCGTTTAGGCAGCAGAGTGTGATAAATCACTGCAGGCCTGGGGTCATTTGGGTTTATGTGGGACTGATCCAAGCTTGACAAATCCATACGAGCTCACTGACTTCATTTAAAAAATGAAAAGTTCACCACACTGCCAACTGTAGCTCATGAAAGGATGCTAACTGTAGACCTAAGATCCCTTCTCTCTATGAAGTGAACAATAGTTCGTGGATAACTTTTTATATTTGTGGATATATAACACCTGTAGTGTATTCTTTTAATGTTAAAAGTGAGAAGTTTTGAACTCAGACATTTTCTTTGTATGTATTTTCCTTTTCCATATCCATCATTTTTTTAAGCTGCTTCCTCTGTTTCTCTAGTATTCGTCTTGGCAATTAAGCTTGAATGAGATTCAATCATTTCTTTGGATTTAATCAAGAGAGCGGATAAGTTTTTCTGTCAAAAATTGGCTGTCTTCTCTTCTCCTTTACAGAGTCAGCACTCGGCAGATCCTTTTTGGCTGGGTACTCAGGATGTCAGAGGAAAGAAACTGAAAAGAAACAGAGAAACTGGAGGACACCCAAACACTGGAGTATTAAAATACAATAAGGTGCCTTCATCTGCAGCAGACTTGACTTCCTTATGGGATGGAGCTATTCCCGGTCTAAAGTGACCATGCCCAAAATTATGTAGCTCCTGGTGGTCTTGTAGAAGAAAATCCGTAAACACATAAATATTGTTTCAATGTTTTAAAAGAGCAAACAGACAGTAACGTGATGGGCAACTTGTTTTTTCTTTCTCTTTCTTAAAGGATTAGCATTCATCACACTACATACAACCCTGTGAGCTTCGTGCTGAGTTTCTAAATATAAGTCAAACTGTGAGTAGAGTAAATACTTGTTAAGTGCTTCTTATAGACTATAAGCAGAAAATGGGTTTAGTTTTCTCTGAATGTATAAAATTGTCTGACAAAAATTACACTGCTTCTTACTCAGCACACTTTTTCTTAATGGGTCTTAGTCTTAGTTGATGGTTTCTACTTTTCTGCAGTACACTATATTTACTTTTTATGGTCACATTTAGAGTAAAATACAGAATATAGAATAAAGAATAAGGAAGAAAATTTTACCTTATGGTTTTCTCAATCAAGCACACCCCTTGTTCATGACATACATTTTGAAAACAAAACAAAACAAAACAAAACAAATCGGGAAAAATTAAAGAAGAAATATTATGCTGATATTTTTCAATAATAATCCACAAACCAGTTGGTAACAGAACTACCTGCATGTTTTTTTATACAGTTTATGGTGCCACCCTACTAGGTTGTAGCAACTTTGTCTGTGAAAGACAGTTGTGTTTAGACAGAACAGAGAAATTCTTGTGTCCTTCTATATTATCTCCAAGGATCAGCTGTACAACAGTGTACTGGCTTTAAAAACAGGGAAGGAATTTTTAGTACCAGGTCAACATCTTGATAGAAAGAAGTGTACACGATTAAAAGATTCAAAGTTCACAGTGGGACAAAATTGCAAAATTTAATAAAGATCGAAATCATTTTATTGATTCTAAACAATTAATAATACTAAACACTCCTAATTTCTTTAGACTTTGCTAGGGAAATGGGAAATAAGAGCAAAGATTTATTAAATTGTGTGCAAACATACTTGAAATACAGTATATAACTTAAAAAAATAGAGTTTGTACAATTGCAATGAGCTTTAAAGTCAATATTTGGTCTGCCCACCTTTATTCTTCAACACAGTCTTAACTCTCCCAGGGAAGCT